TGTGTTGCAAAGAAAGATTTCAAATATTTTACTTTAATATTACACCAAAATGGTGAATTCTGAAAGAACCCAAAGATGGTTTATGAGGGGGGTAAGGTTGAATACTTCCACCAAAAACACCTAAATTACATGTCATTGTTAGAGCTTGACGAACTGGCTAAGCAGTTAGGATACGAAGGGGAGATTCTGAGGTATCAATACTGCATACCAGGAAAGGACTTGGATTCTGGTTTAATTTGTTTGTTTTATGACACACAAGTTTTCACTATCTTCAATACATTGTACCCCAACACTGTTGCTGACGTTTACATAGAATATCAAACAATTGATGATGTTATTGATGACCAAGACTTCACAAAAGATTATGTTAAAAAGAGACATTCAGTTGTAATTGAGGAGATTAATGAAGATGATGTGGATGGGTTAGAATATAGTCAGGTTACTGAAGTCCTCAAGATAGATTACTCTAATAGAAAAAATTTGCTAGAGTATTCTGAAGTCAATGCAAGTGGTGATGTTGTAGGAGAAGAATAGAGGGTCAATGGAGGAGAAGAATAAAGAATCAATGGAAAAGTATAGAGAGTCAATGAAGGAGAAGAACATAGAGTCCATGGAGAATAACAGAGAGTCAATGGAGGAGAAGAATATAGAATTAATGGAGGAGAGGACCAGAGAGTCAATGAAGGAGAAGACCAGAGATTCAATGGAACAGAGAATGACATGCCTCAGGAGAGAACTAGGGAGTCAATGGAAAATGACACACCTCAGGAGAGAACCAGGGAGTCAATCAGGGATAGTGACAGTTCTAATTATTCTGAGTTATATAATAGTGAATATGATCTTGACGAGGATGACAAATTGTATGAGATAAACGTGGATAAAGATGTTGAATGGGCTGGTGTGGGTGATAAGGGTAAGGGTCTAAAGGATGGTACTTCAGCTTTTCATGGTACAAATGAAGATGATGTGCATTCTGACTATGCAGATTCAGATGAATTATGTAGTTTTGATGATTCATCTTCAGAGGATGATGGTGTCAAGGTGAGGAAGCCCAAGTTCCCTGAGTTTAGAGTTACCACTGACATAAAAAACCCATCTTTCAAGCTAGGAATGTTATTTGGAACAGCTACTAAGTTGAAAGTAGTAGTAAGGGAATATGCAATTAAGGAGGGAAAACAAATAATATTTAAGAAAAATGACCATTTTAGGGTTAGGGCAGTCTGTAAAGAGAAATGTGAGTGGTTGGTATTTGCATCTGTCATGAAAGATGGGAAAACATTCCAAATTAAAACATTCAATGACAAACACACAAGGAATATCATTTCACAACAAGAATGCAAACTCCACTTGGATTGCTAATACATATGTGGATCAAATTAAGGGGAGTCCTGCATGCCCAGTGGATGCCTTTATAGAAAGGATAATGAAAGATCACCAAATTACTGTAACACCTCATCAGATTTACAGGACAAAACGAAAGGCAAAGATAATGATTGAAGATAGCCATACAGAGCAGTACTCCAAATTATTTGAGTATGTTGAGGAGTTGATGAGGACTAATCCAAACAGTACAATAGCTATAAAATTAAATAATTTGTCAGAGTTGGAAGGTGAGCCTTCTAAACTTTCACATTCTTATCTTTATATAACAACGTAATTATTTTTGAAATGTTAATATATGTAATGATGTATGCATGAACTATGTAGATTTTCAGAGTAAAAATAAAAATGTTAGACGAGGTAACAGGGTATGTATTAGAAGTTAGGAAATATTTCGGAGTTCAAATACATTTTAGATAAAATTTGGGTAGAAAGGATTTTGGACACTGCTTAGTATTTGGACCATAAATTTTTATCTTGATGTCCGTTTGTGCTGAAATTTTTACAATAGATAATATACTTTCAGGGTTACAAAAGTGTATTTCACGAAAAAATTTTATATCGACTTTTAAATAGGCCAAAACTTCACTGAAAGTTTCAGCAGAAACAAGAAGTTCGTTTAAATGTGAATGTCCGTTCAAATGACAGTTCATCCCAATACTTTCTTCCTGATGGAAAAACAAAACTATTGGGAGCAAATGACGTTCGAATGTGAGTTACGAAATCTAGGTTTAAAATCATGCATAGAAGACTATTTCTTCCACTATAAATACTTAAGGATACCTTCATTAGCCCCATTTCAACATTTATAACCTAGAGAGGCTTAGAGAGAAAGAAATAAGGAGAAAAACACAAGATCAAGAGAGATTTTCATATTGAAGAGAATCAAAGCTTCTAGTTTTTCAAGAACACCAAGGAAGAAGAAAGGTAGGGGTTTGATTCCACTCTTGTCCATTGAGACGAGGGTTTATATCTATGTATGTTTTGCTTCAAAATCTTAGATATATGTTACAATATCCTTGTTTCTTGATGTTCTTGCAAACCTTCTCAGGTTTTGAGTGAAGTTATGGGTCGAAAGCCATAAAAACCCTTGTTTGACATCAAAACTTAGTTTTTCAAGAGAAATTGATTTTTCTCTTGATTTTTTTTTGTTTTTGATTTAAAAACTCTAGTGTTTGGTATTGAACAATAAAATGGTATTTTTGATAATCTCTTGCATATTTTCTTAAATTGTTCTATTGGAATAATACATGTGAAATTTGGAGATTTTGAATTTTACCAAGGATTGGAGAAATTAGTTGGATATTGTATTTCTTGTGGATGTTTGGATGATCATGGGTGACCGTTGATTGGGTATCGTAGAGTGGGTAGATGTGTTTCTTACTCCGCGAAGGTTTGAATTTTTCCTACCACTTGTAGTAGGGTTGGTACCTTGCGACGACCAAACTACTATTCACTCACGTGGTACCGAGACTGAGGGTTAATATATTATTCCTAGGTTGGATTCGTCACTGTCAATGCGTTAGTATACGCCCTTCCTAAAGTTGAATTTCCTTGTGAGGATTGTGTGTGTGTGGATGTGGGCCAAGATATTCTCGATGTGTTTATTCATGCAATGTCATGTATCATACCTAAGATACAAGTTATGGTTTGATATACATTATGGGCTATTGTTTATTGTACTAATAGTTGGTTATGGTTTATTGTGAAAAGGAGTTTATGGTGGAATTAGTTTGTTGTGAAATTGGTTATTGTGGAAATAGTAACTTGTTGGGAATTTGTTTTACTTTTTCATTTAATTATTGCTATTGTGTAAACTTGAGATCCATTGAATTGTCTATATTTTCCTTCAAAAGCTATATATGATATTTGTAAAATGAGACCGACCGTTTTATATACTTTTAAAACCTTACTCAAGTTTGGGAGGATTTTCTTACAGAGTTTAGTACTCACCCCCTATAACCAATATCTTTTTCAGATTATGGTCTAGAGGAGAAGCTCGAAGTTGATGAGTCAATACATTGGGAAGCTCCAATAGATGGGAACGTGGATCCTAAGGTGGACGTTTAGAGCTATATTCTCTTATGTTCTAGATTAAGAAATTCATTTTATGACAATGTGAAGTCTAATATTTTTGTTATTCTGCTACAAGATAATAGTTAATTTTTGGGATGTAATTGTCAAAATTTGACATATTCTTTTGGATGATATTGTATATATTGTAAATAATTAATGAAATTCTCTTTAGTTATGAAGTTCATTTAGTTGCTCTCATAATGTGAATGATTTTAGATAGTAATGCTGTCCAAGGGAGATTTTGGGGCGTTACAAGCCTAGGTTTGAAAGAATGTATAGTTGTTTACATGCACTGAAGAAGGGTGTCAAGGAGACATGCAGACCAATATTGTGTTTGGATGGTTGCCATTTAAAAGGTCCTCATGGTGGCCAGCTTCTCTCAGCAGTGGGACTAGATGCCAACAACAATATGTTCCCAATAGCATGGTGTGTGGTAGAGATGGAAGGAACAAACACATGGTCATGGTTTTCTAAACCTTCTGGTACAAGACCTTCAAGTAAGAAACACAATTGGATGAACTATAATGTCTGATAAGCAAAAGGTACATTTACTGTTATTTTTTTTTAATCTAGTCTACATTAAATACTATTATTGAACTGAATTATATATGATATTTTGTATATAGGGGCTAGAACATGCAATTTATGAACTGCTTCCAAATGTTGAACATAGGCATTGTGTTAGACATTTATACAACAATTTCAACCAAAAGCACAAGGGTAAAACACTTAAGGATTTAGTTTGGGCTGCTACAAGATCAAGTTATGTAAACTTGTTTAAAGTGAATATGGAAAAAATGAAAGCTGGAGATGCAGAGGCATGTGCATGGTTTGATGATTAACATCCAAGGAATTGGTCTAAGTCCCATTTTAGCACACATCCTAAATGTGACATATTACTTAACAATATGTGTGACTGCTTTAATGCTTATATACTTGGGTTTAGAAACAAACCAATCATATCAATGTTGGAGATAATTAGAGGTCTCCTTATGAAGAGATTATATATGAAAAGAAATGCAATGGCAAAGTGGGAAGGTGAAATATGTCCTAAAATTCAAGAAATTCTAGAGAAAAACAAGAAAGAACTTCTTTTTGCATAGCATATTATTTTGGGGGTTCTAAATTTGAAGTTAGACATTGTTATGGTGATTAGTTTGTTGTGGACTTGGATGCCCAAACATGTGTAGGGAAAAAAATGGGATTTGACTAGCATTCCTTGTTCTCATGCCATTCAGGCTATTACATATAATGGAGATGAACCTGAGAAATATGTTCATAAGTGGTATCACAAAGAGACGTATATGAAGGCTTATGGGAACAATATTAATCCCATTAATGGGCAGAATTTATGGCCTACATGCACTAAGACTCCCCTTTTACCTCCATTTTACCATAAACAGCCTAGGAGGCCAAAGACACTAAGAAAGGAACCAGAGGAACGAACCAATTCAAATCCAAATAAGTTGAGAAAGTTTCAGAATTCTTTAAGGTGTGGAAAATGTGGTATGAGGGGACATAATAAGAGAAGTTGTAGAGTTGCTATGATAAATCCAGCCATAGGTTCTGGGACAGGTGTAGGGGCAAGTGTTGAGGCTGGTACAGGGGCTGCTGCTGCAACTGTTGGAACAAGTGCAGGGCCTGCTGCTGCAATTGTTGGAACAAGTGCAAGGATTGCTGGTGCAACTGTTAAAGTAAGAAGAAAGAGAGCCAACAAGGTGCAGGAACAATGTCCAGTGGAGTGACTACTGCAGGAGCAAACACAGATGGAATGATTGGTCTAGGAGCTGGTGCAACCAATGTTTCAAGTAGGAGAGGTCAGTTGGCTATGAGGAGGAACAAAATGAATGCACCAACCACAACACAAGTCTCACATTCTACAGGAGGAGTTCAGTGACTATTGATGGAATCCAAGAACTATTTTGTTAGGGTTTAATGTTCCCTCTTTTGATAGTACCATCCTTTTGGTAGTGAACATGTTGAATGTAATAGGCTCTTGTTGTTCCCTATTTTATGTACTGGCTAATGATAGTAGCATCCTTTTGGAAGTGAACATGTTGAATGTAATATGTTCTTTTTGTCACTTAATAGGTTGTGTCCTCAATGCTATGATAAATATTATGGTGTTTGTCAGATACACTTTCTACATTAACATTATGTTGTTTGTCGGATACACTTTCTAAATATTATAGTGTTTGTCGGATACACTTTCTATATTATGGTGTTTGTCGAATATATTTGATAACAAAACAAAGTTAGGGGACAAGCAACAAAATAAATATTAATTTACAACTTGCCAATAAGATACACTTTCTACATTAACAAAGTACAAAACTAGCATCTTAGCAACTACAACACCCATAACCAGCTGCTTCATTTTACAATTGCATCTGACCAAGTATGTAGAAGCAAGTGAATACAAGCAACAACATCCAAGTGAGTACAAGCAAATGAGTACAACAACTTCATTTTGTTAACATCCATAACCAAGTAAGTACAAGCAACAACCACACAACTTTCTCTCTCTGTTGAGATCTTGTTAGCTTCCCTTCTAGCAGTGTGATTTTCCTGAGTAATCTTGGTATGATATTCTTCGATCGCATACACATAAGAGGATCATGCCACGCAAAATACCCACATCCCCCATTTCACTACATATTCCAACAAAAACAGTTTAAACAAAAATTGTTGTTAACTTTCATATAATACAATTTCATAAAATTTACCTCATTTCTCTCACATCCAAGGAATCTTCTTCTTGGATTTAAATATGTCTAAGACGTTAACATTCGAGTCTTTCTCCCACACTTTTAGTACGTCTGATCCATATGGACCTTGGGATAAAACTTGGCTTCGTTCAATGATGAAGCTTGGATTGACTTGCAACTTGTCTTCGTTCTATGATGAAGCTTGCGCTGGTTCGCCCCCATTGAAAGTTGCCTTTATCAAACATAAATTAGGATTCCTTAATCAGATATATAATGGGAGAGAAGGTGGTTGAATGGCCGGGAAAATAAGGAGAAAAGACAGTGATGTCCTTCTATCTTCTACACGTGTTGTTTTTTGTCAGAGATTTGGACGACAGTTAGGGAGAAGGACAATTTTGGTTCAAAACCCAAATTTTGAGGACTAAATTGACTAAATTGGAACTTTAGAGACTAAAGTTTAATAAGTGGTAAATTTCAGGGACTATTAGTGCAATTAACCCATTGAATAAATTATACGGACACCCTTTTAGATTTCCTAAAATACACGCCATCCCTTATAGTTTGAAAAATATTTAAAAAAACCTATGTCAAAAATGTCAGTTTATGTTAGTAAACAAAATAGGTGAGACGACATTCTTCCCCTATTCTTATCTATCAAACTTCTTCACCCCCACCCCCACCCCCACCATGCCCAGTGTGGTAGGTACCCTCCTCTGGTCGCAACCCCACTCCCTCCGTTTTTACTATGGTAACACATTTATGTCTGTGTATGTGTGTTTGTTTTTGTGTGTGGTTGCATGTGTATATATATGTAAACCCTCTACATGTATAGTCCCCAATAGCTGTTTTTTGTGCTCTTGTGACCTCTCCTGAAATGCACTTTTTTGAGAAGCATGAATTTTCAGGCTGGGAGAAAAAGAAGAGTAAAGTGATGATTACAAATACACAAATGGTGAAACAAATGAGCCAGGCAATGCCCTCTTGGCCTCACTAAACACCACTGACATGAATTCTTCACTAACATTTAGAACGAAGGGAATAAACTGAGTTCAAGTCTCTTTGACTGCATATAGCTTGAACTAAGCTATGAAAACGTTATTTCCCAAAGTGTAGTAGAAAGCATTGTTGTAACCACTTCGATGCTATGGCTAACATGGGAGATGGTTCTGCAAAGCAGTGGAAGACATGCAATTCAATCTGTTCATCGCTTGAATGAACGAGACAAAAGGTTGGCCTAAGAATTTTTGACCATCGTAAGGCAATTTTTAAACTTTATGCTTTCAAGAAGTTGATATCTAAATTTTTTCTTAATTTATCGTTGTTTACATGAATCTATAGTTTAAACTAAAGTTTTTGAATTCAACGTTAAAGCGTGTTTTCAAAGAACGCTTTCAAGGTTTTTTATACAAAACAACCATTCAGGTCTGAGTTTTGCATGTAGAATTTAACTCCATAAATCAATGCTCTAAATTACTCAATCCTGAAATGCACAAAACATATTCAACCCCAGAAAACAAACGTAACTAGTAACAGTGTTTCAAAAAATCAAGAGAACACACTATAATCGGTTATGAATGTACAAATGTTTTGCCACTTGGTTTGATAGCTCAGAACTAGTCAATAAGACAAGCCTGGATGTTTTGTTTCTGCTGTCCTTTGTAGCAATAATTTGGAAGAAAATAAAAAAAAATTAAAGTTCAATGGCAGCATTTATGGTACACAACCGGATTGCTCTGAGTCATTACAAATTGCCCTGCCCACCACGGAGTTGAGCCCTTTCTATAGCAGCATTTGCATCACATGAGAGTGAAGCTTTATGAAAACGAAACTTTAGGGAGAAGCAGATGCATCGTCAATATATAGACCTAAAACCCACAAGGAATGTACTCCAGTATTCAGTAGAAAGAAAATCCTATTCAAAAACCATCACCTTATCACCATTCAATTTACACACAATAATGGCTTCATCACTCGAATGAAAACTTATCATTGCTGCATTGATACTACTAGGAATGTGGGCTTCTCAGGCCACATCCCGAACACTACCTGAAGCATCCATTTCAGAGAGACATGAGCAATGGATGGCTCGTCATGGACGTGTTTACAAGGATATTGCAGAGAAGGAAAGGCTTTTTATGATATTCAAGGACAATGTAGAGTTCATAGAATCTTTCAACAAAGTTGGGAATCGACCTTAAAAGTTGAGCATCAATGAATTTGCAGACCAGACAAATGAGGAGTTTAAGGCCTCTCGCAATGGATAAAAGATGCCATCCAATCCAAAGACAAATGAAAGCTACATCGTTCAAGTATGAAAATGTGACTGTAGTACCAGCTAGCATGGACTGGAGGAAGAAAGGAGCTGTTACACCTATTAAGGATCAAGGTCAATGTGGTAAGGAATCCTCTTTTATAAACTTCACCATGTGCAGCTACACTTTTAAATCCATGAATTGTTTTTTCTCACCAGTGCAATTCTATCAACAGGAAGTTGCAGGGCATTTTCAACGATAGCAGCCACAGAAGGGATTACAAAACTTACAACTGGTAAATTGATCTCACTGTCCGAGCAGGAACTAGTGGACTGTGATAGAAGTGGTGAAGATGAAGGATGTGAGGGTGGCTACATTGAAGATGGGTTCAAATTTATCGTCAAAAACAAAGGCATTGCCACTGAAGCAATTTATCCATATCAGGCAACCGATGGAACCTGCAACACTAAGGAAGAAGCTTCCCATGCTGCCAAGATCAAGGGTTATGAGAATGTGCCTATCAATAGTCAGAAGGCACTGCTGAAGGCCGTGGCCAATCAACCAGTTTCAGTTTCCATTGATGCAAGCGGAGCTGCGTTCCAGTTTTACTCAAGCGGGGTTTTCACAGGAGATTGTGGAACCGATCTAGACCATGGTGTTATGGCAGTTGGATATGGAACAACTGCTGATGGCACCAAGTATTGGTTAGTCAAGAATTCATGGGGCACCACTTGGGGAGACAAAGGGTACATCATGATACAAAGAGATATTGGTGCCAAAGAAGGCCTTTGTGGGATTGCCATGGATTCTTCCCATTCAATAGCTTAGATATTACCACATGACTTGTGAATCTTCAATCTAATATGGCACTAAATGGTCTTGGCCAAATCTACTTGTGCAAGTGTGCTGTGCATTATGTGCATTTAGCCTTGTAAATGATGCAATGCAGTTCTTATGTGTATAAAATTAAGTAATGAATTTTAAGTATCCGTAGAACATATGGTTAAATGTATTTCTTTTGGGTTAATGAGCTTACTAACTTTACCCAAAAAAGAAGAAGAAAACTGCTTAGAACAGTCTAGGTCTTTGATATTAGGCTCCAAGTTCCAAGCAAAATTCAACTAGGCCCCATGAACTGAGATAGCTCATACAGGAAAAGGTGTAAACATGACCAAGATGAGATGGATGTCCACACCAGGCAACTCTAGCTGGTTGATTTCCTTATGTTTACATTATGAAGCATTTCAAACAGTTCAACCCTCTACTGCATAATATAAGTCATAAATCTGATAAATCCCTCTTGACAATAGAGAATCATATCGAAATCACGCAGAACAAAGGGTAGCAATTAACTGTTTTATCACTTTATCCTTCATTTCAATTTCAAATAAATTATATTCACTTCTCTTGGGAATTATTGAAAATAACTTTATCTTCTATACCTATTAAAATTTCAAAAACCCAAAAAAAAAAAAAAACCCTGCAAGAGCTTTCCAGTTGATATGGTTAAACAAAATGTCTCCACTTCCCTAGATCTTTTGTGTTTTACATGACTCGTTCCCCCCCCCTCTCTCTCCCCCAGCCTCCACACAATCATCATTGGTGTCCCTTCCACTAAACCACCACCCCTCGGATTAGCCACCCCCCCCCCTTACTGCAACACTCTTCCTCCTCCAGTCTTACCCTCTTCAAGTCCCATTCCCTTGCCCCACTCCCCGTAACTCAATCATCGTTGGCACCACCCCACTCCTCCCTCAAGCAAACCCCCTCCAATGCCAACCCCTTGAACTCCCAGGTCGCAACCCCACTCCCTCTATACATGTACATATGTACACCCCTGTTTCCTGACAACTTGGACCTTTGCCCAACTCTCTCTCTCTCTCTCTCTTTATATATATATATATATATATATATATATATATATATGCACATCAATCACAAATATATATATTGAGTATTTATCCCTCCCTCTCTACACATGTAGAGTATTAATTCCATAAATCAATGATGTAGATTACACAGTAAGGAAATAAAATGCCAATGGCCACAATACATATCCAACGCACATAGTAAGCTTAACTCGTGGCAGTGCTCAAAACTATCAAGAAGACAAGATAACATCAATTGAGATTTTAGACATGTTTTGTCACTTGGTTTGAAGGGGCACTTTGCAGGGTATACTACCAGTACACTTAATTTACTAAAGGACTTGCATGCTATGGAACTAGGTCAAAATATCTAACTAATTGCTTCAGAAATCAACTCAAATGTTGAACACATTCCATCATTTTGATAAAGTGTGCAATTCTTATCGACAAAACACCCATATGTTATTGCAACAAGCAAAACAAGAACTTTTCTAACCGCCATTCATTTAATTTCTTCAATCAACTGAACTGATATCCAAACGTGGGCATAATCATGAGCAACAAAGATACCATCAAACAATGTCAGAAAGACAACGCATTGAAAAAAATATTGGCATAATAAACGATTACGACTGAGTGGTCTTGGGCAGCTGTGGAGGAGAACAAACAGCAGTTTCAGCAACAGCATCATCCGTGACGAGAGTCCACTCAGGAGGAAGCGGAGGAAGAGGAGGGTAAACGGTGGGCCCACGTCGAATGTCCCAAGCCTGAGACTTGCGGGGTCGAGTCTTCATGTGGTGTTTCGTTGCCTTCTTCTGTGGCCGCGATGAGGACTCTATCACTACCCTGACGCCACCAACGCCGCCGCCCACTCCTGGTGCCACCTTGGTCGCACCACCGCCGACACTGGACGAGGAGAGAGAAGAATGGATAGGCACCACCACCATTCTCGAGCAAATTAGAGCTGAAACTGACATTTTTCTTCGCAAGAGCCGTTTGAGCCTCCCACTCTTCGAGTGCGAAGATAAAATAGCAAGTGTTTGGACTCAGAAAGATAAGGGGTGGTGGAGTTGGTGGTGGTGGTTCGCCTGGGTCGCATATACGAAGTTAGGGCTACCAAAAAAGTCAGCCCAATTGACGTGGCAAAAATGTCAGTTAATCTGACTTTTTTTTTGGATTAAAAACGCAAAATCAAATAACGTTTTTAAAAAGACTTGAATTTGAAAAATGGTCAAAAGCTCTGGCAGAGTCAAACCCATCTAATTTTCGCCTTTTTTTTGTTGTACATCAGCTATTTGATCTTGTGCCTAGCTGAAGAGTGATACTCCCTGATTGAAGGCACTGAACTGGATGAACTCCAACACCCAGATCGAATAATGGAAGCATGGGTTTGTTTTGAGAGTTTGAACTGCTTTGTCACTACTCACTAGTCAGATTCTATTCGTAGCTGAAGATCGTTATCTGGAAATTGAAGCTTCTGAACAGGATTAATACGCATGAATTTGTTCGAGGGTTTGAAGCTCTTTGTTTGACTCAACTTCGAAGTAGGAGGTATCAGTGGTGCAATGCTGTGCGTGGGTTTTCAGGTGATGGGTATTGTTAAGGGTAGAAATCGCGCGTTCAGATCTCATCTTTGAACTCAAGAATTTCGGCTTGATTTGGTTAACTCATTGGACAACCCCAGTAGTCTTTACCCCTTTTCGCCCGCAGGAGCTTCGTCCCACATCAGAAGAGAGTGGTCTCCCCTCTCGCATATAAGTTCTTGCACTCAAAGGAGGAGGTACTCACTAGCGACCTGATCAAGTGTTAGCCTTTTTGTTAGGGGTAGAATGCGAGGGGGGAGACAATTCTCTTTCGATGTTGGACGAAACTCCTGCGAGGAGTAAAGGCTATTGGGTGGTCGCTTTGGCACACGCCAGGTCAGCCGAAATCCTTTTGGAGGGACACAATCTTGTCCACCTTAAGGCGCCTTTTTGTAAGGGGTAGAAATCGCTACGGATCTCATCCCTCCACTCGAAGGATTCCGCTCGAAGAATTCCGGCTGACCTGGCTTGTGCCAAAGCGACCACCCAATAGCTTTTACCTCTCTTCGCCAGTAGGACCCTTTAGTTAAGGTAATCCCACATCGGAAGAGAGTCGTTTTCCCCTCAAGTGGCTAATGGGTACCTCCTCCTTTGAGTGCAAGGGCTTATATGCAAGGGGGGAAGACGACTTTCTTCCGATGTGAAATTGTCTTAGCTAAAGGGTCCTATTGGCGAAGAGAAGTAAAAACTACTGGTTGGTCGCTTTGGCACAAGTCAGGTACAGGTATTAATTGCAGTGAAGTAAGTTCATAGGTCATGGTCCTAAGTGGAAATTTTGCCAACAATGTCTGCACTCAGCTTTCACTCTATAGACAGGCCTGGTGGGCATATGCAATATATAATTGAAGCCAACTCAACACCAAAGTGTGACATTGGCTTCCTACAGAAACAATGTCATTCCTATAGATGCTTTACTCAAGACCTCGTTTGAGTGTTCAACCAGGTGTAAATGATTCTGTTGGGGCTTAGGCAGCACAAACCTTGCACAAGTAAGGTTACTTGAAGGTGTATCGGATGTCACATATTCAAATTATAGAAATACTTTCTTGTCGTGTAATGATAGAACCTCATACATTTAGTCATCTCCAGACTTTGTAATGCCTAAAGTGTTGTGTATTGCATCGTCCTAATGAAAAAAATCAAAGTAAAAATGAATTTTGGATCGAGTATTTGAAAGTGGTATTGAATGTGCCTTCAACTTAGCTCATTAAAATAACACAATCCATGTTTGAATGCCCTTAAAATCCTGTTGGGTTTGGTTTTGGTGGTAGTAGAGCATGAGAATGGAATGTCTATTACTAAGTATATCCATTCCAATGTTTAGTATGTAGTAATGGAAATTATTTTCATTTTTCAGTAATACTTTGTTTGGTCGGAAGGATAGAAAGTAAAAAGGATAGAAAGTAGGAGGGATACACTTTTCTTCATTTATGTTTGATTGGATAGATGGAAAAAAAATTACTATTTTTTTTTTGTGATGACTAAGATTAAAAGTGACAATCGAATTGTGTCATGTCAGATTCGTGTTGAGTCATTACAGATTTGTGTCAAACATAACTTAACTCATTTAACTAATTGTGTCGTGGCGAATTGTCAGTTGACCTGTTTATTTTCATATCGAGTTCGAGTCGTGTCATCGTGTTGAATCAAAAAATTTCACCCTTAGTTAAGATGAAATTTTTTTTTTTTAATTTAAATTGTTTTTTTTTTTTGTTATTTTGTTATATATATATATATATATATATATATATATATATATATATATTTTAAAATTTATTTTTATTTTATTATTGTATTTTTATATGAAATTAATATATACATAATATATGTATATATAAAAAAATATATAGACAAATAAAATACTTATCAACTCAAGTAATTAACTTTTCATCCACTTTTCTTCCGATTTTGGAGGGATTAATTTTGGTGAGTTGGAAGGAAAGTCCATCCACTTTTCCATCCTTCCTACTTTCCTTCATTACCAAACATGATGTGTTTATTTATCCCTCCAATTTTTCATCCTTCTAACTTTTCATTATTCTATTTTTGTATCGTACCAAACAGAGCATAAGTAAAAATTATTTTTATTACTATTGCTTATTCCCACCGTTGTAAGATTTATTAACAACTACTACTACCCACTGCCATCATGGGGATGGGGTTAGGCAAAGGTCCAAGACTGTTTAGGTACAGGGTTGGGTCCCGGATTGTTGTTTTGGATTATGTTTGTGTTCAGGTCCAGGATCGAGTCTGGGTCTAGGCTTGGGTCCGGACTAGGGCCAGGGTTTTGGGTTGTGTTTGTGTCCGAGTTCAAGGTTGAGTCTGGGGTTAAATCCTGGCCTGTTTAAGGAATGAAATCTCACATTGGGGGATCAGAAATAGCTATATTATTTTAAAGATAAATTACACTTTAATTCCTTAATTATGGACTTGATTTCACTTTGCCCCTTAAACTACTAAAATTTTCACATTGCTCCCTCAACTAATTGAATTATTTCTCATTCTCCTAAACACAAAATGTCTGATATCTTTTTAGACGAAAATTGCTCAGAAGTCAGGATAAAGTGAACAAAAAAAAAATCACACAATATAAAAGGAGGAATATGAAAAAGGTTGATTTATTAAAATATTTGAATGAATTTTTAATTTGATTCCAGAATTTATTCTTTGATAATGTATATTTCATTATTAAGTTCATTTTATTCTTATGTTCATTCACATGCTATCGAATCCCATTAAAATTTACGAATAGAGTTCGGTTGAACGTAACCCAATGAGGTCTTGTTCTTTAATAGCAGTCCCTTGCCCAGCTAGGTCAAGGTACCATGCCTTCTCCTTAACAATGGAGATAGCTTCGAATGATGAGAAAAGGCGATACCTATTTTTAATGGTAAATGTTGTAAGCTCCAACTTTGCGAACAATATAAGAATATTACCATTTAAAAACTCAACGTTACTTACCTTCCAAGACCAAACAATGCAGCAACAAATAAAACAATAAAAAAACCATAATCAAATCAAAATTTACGAAAAAAACCATATACGAAAAGAACAAAAAAACAATGGCCTAATACAACATAGAAAAGAGAAATCATAAGATTATCTCATAGACTTTTCAACTCATCTCATCACAAGATCACCACCTCTAGGTATTAATGTATCATTTTGCACCCAAAATTTTCCATTTTTCTTTAGATTTTTTTTGAGGCAAATCAAGGAGAATAAACAAAAAAGAAAAGAAAAAAAAAAAGAGAAACTCACAAAAAAGAGGAAAAAATATTCATTGCAACGGTCATACCACGTCCATATTGACATGTGGTATCATCTATATAATAAAGTAACTTACAATTCAAATCTCAAAAGATAAAAAAAATGACTTTTACTATTCGCGGTTGAGATCATTTTAAATTTTATTTTAAAATTAATCTAACGACTAATATTAACACTCTAAATTTAATAGGAAAAATAGGTCCCCTAAGGTACTTGTAGAAATTATTTTTCATAAATACTTAAAAAAAAAATAGTGTTTGAAACCGCTTCACTATTGCCTCTACCACCATCACCACTACCCGTCGCTGCCACCACTACCACCACCACCCGCCGTTGCCACCACCACCACGATCATTGTCACCCACCACAACCATCACCGTCTCTTACCACTACCACTGTAGCCCGCCACCTCTCACCTCTACTACAAACTGATGCTTAAATTTCTTTATCTTTTTTCTATATTTGTAATTTAATTTTAGATCTAAATACAAATATGTTTATTATTTACCATTTTTTATTACTATGTGTTTTCAAAAAGCTATAATCAAGGTACTAAACTCTCAACTAACCGAGATCTTCTCCCCAAAATCAAGGAAGATGCGGTGTATGGAAGGCAAAAATCTTGTTGCAGATCTCGTAAAGTTAGGAATTAGACTATAAATATTGTACAGAGCGTCCCATGCGGGGCAAGAAATCCCGGTGGTATGAGAAACACTTTGTAAATCAGTTAGATTATTATTACATATCTAAGGAGCAAGAGACTTTATTAAATAGTGGATTAGTTGAGCTCCTGAACCGGTAAACTACTATAATTTCATTGTGCAAATCATCCTAATTCCCCAAGAATTTTTACTGTAATCCTCTCAAACTTAGAAGCTCTGATCTAGCCTTACTCGCATGATTCATTAATTCTGTTCATCCATGTAATTAACACTATCAAGGTATAAACAGTAACTAGTTCATCAATAATATACAGATAAATAAAAAAATAAATTCCACATAAATTAATAATTATCTGTCAATTTAATAACTATTGTCGACATGATATCACTCTTAGTATTAAAATGGTGACATGTTGTATCAAGGGCAGCCTAACAAATTTGAAGACCCTAAGCAAGAATATGAAGTGGGCTCTATTAATAGGCAACAATTATTAAAATATATATTATTTAAAAGCTATTTTTCTAGTTTTTTGAGATGCAAAAATATTGATTAAATTTTTATATTCAAGTTTTGTTAATAGATATTTTTCAATAAATAATATAGTTAATAAATTTAATCTTTCTTGTGACATAGTTGATCGGAGATAAGATTTTATTAATTTAAGTTTTGAAAAACTTCTCTCTGTTGAAACAATTTTTACCAATATTGTTAACAATATTCTAAAAGTTACACATGCATTTTGAAAAGAATCTAATCGTTTTATATAAGTTAGAGTTTCGACAATCAACTATTAAGATTCAAACATTTAAGTTTATGTCAAAAAAGGAGACATTCTAAATCAACAACAATATCAACAAAAATGAAATCAACATATTTAAAATTCTAAGCACATCAAATTTCTAATTTTTTTTATAAAATTTCTAATAAAAATTGATAGAGCAATTGAACAAACTAGTTTATTATAGTAGTTTAAGCCCAAAAAAATTTGACCCTTGAATCTTGATAGGTTTTTGACTATCAATTAATTGATAGGTTTTTGAACTACAAGAGATTAGAGAATATAGATGTTTGGTGTTCTTTCTTTGTTCAGATTCAGACTTCACATTTCACATAAAGAGAGATAGGGAGAAAGAGAGAGAGAAGGTATGCGGTCGTGACGTTAAACAAACATTGTGATTTGTGAGTGAATCCTGTAATAATAGTAGTTGATAAATTTGTGCGAGAGAGGCAGAGTGATATAGAGAGATTTGCTTAATTCTCATCTTTCATAGATATGAGAGAGAGATTTAGTCGTCTATCTTTCTTGTTTTAGAAGTCTAGCAGTCTACTATAACTGACAAGTAAAACAATTTTCTAAATAAATTATTAAGTATTATAAATTTATCAATAAAATTTGAATTCTCTTAAATCGGTTCATAAAAAATATATGTACCCATAACTAAAACTCGTAAAAAAAACCTAAAATTTTGCAAAAATTGGAGGCCGTCGGCAGCCAACTAAGTGGCTAGGCCTGGGGCCGGCCCTGTGTTGTATTGAATGTTCGCTCACAAAAGAGAGGGAGAGAGAGGATAGGGAGTTGATAGTCATTTTAAAGGCATGTGAGGATGGATATACCGTAACTCACCAACTCACCAGAAAAACGACACAATGGAATAGAATAGTTTCCAGAACACAGTGGTTCGTTGGCTGTTTTGGATATTGTATGGTCCGAAACCAATGGCTACCACCACTCCCAAGATAACCAACGGCCTAGCTCTCGGTATCGGAAGTACTGTCAATTCCCACCGAGCAGCATCTATGGCCACTTCTTCTCTCTCCTACGCCCTTCCCACTTTCCTACTCAAAGGCTGGTTGTCTCGGCGGCGGGCGGTTCGTTTTGACTCACTTGTTGGCGGTCGATTAACTCGCCACCGTGTCAATTCTTCGGTGGTTCGAGTTAGAGCCACGGCTGCTTCCGAGGAGCAGCCTAGCTCTTCAGGTCACACTTCAACTCCCCCTCTGTGTGTGTGGAATTCGATTTAGTGCTTATGTTGTTCGATTCTATGTGATTCTTCTTTGCAGAATTTAGGTTGAAAATTTGTTCTGTTCGCTCTTTCTCTCACTCTTCATTGCATGGTGTCTACTTTTAGGATTAGAGAGGCATTGGAAAATCAACTGGATTTCAATTATTTGTTCGCCTTAATTAATTGTTGAGAGCAATTACACGAGGAGATCGAAGGAGTTTTTAAGGTTTTAAGTGATTTAGAACCAGCTCAGCTGGTTGCAGAATTTGGAGAAATAAATAGCAAGGAAGGAGGCACTCTGAAATTCGATTTAGCTAGCATTTGATCCAACAAGTTTAAGCTAGCATTTGATCCAAGATTCATTTGCTTTAAATGAGGCTGTGTAATTTTTCCCCAAACATGCATTTATTTTTGCCCCCTTCTTGCAGCTCCAGCTGTTGAGAACTTGGTAATCATAGGCTCAGGTCCTGCTGGATACACAGCAGCAATTTATGCAGCTCGAGCCAACTTGAAGCCTGTAGTATTTGAGGGATATCAAGTAGGAGGTGTTCCGGGTGGACAATTGATGACTACCACTGAAGTGGAGAACTTTCCAGGGTTCCCAGATGGAATCACTGGTCCAGACTTGATGGATCGGTAAATGAAATTTGAAAACACTTTTCTTTGGGCTTTATCTTATCCTTGTTTATCAGTCATCGGTGTAGATCAGAATCTTGATATTGTCTTGTTGAATGTTGACCAGGATGAGACGGCAAGCTGATCGATGGGGAGCAGAATTATTTCAAGAAGATGTGGAATTAATTGATGTGAAGGACAGTCCTTTTACTGTGCAGAGTAGTGAACGTAAGGTGATGTTTCCTTTTAGTGACATGTTCTTGAATTAGTTGCCTATCTATTTCTTGTTGGAGGATAATATAAACTGCAGTTAGTTTTCCACTGGTGCCTGGATCCTTTTAATTTTCCTGTGAAGAAGTCTTTCTGGTGTCAAAGCTATTTGCTTTGTAGGATGAATATATGATCAAATCTTTCGTGGGAAAACAAGTATCTTCATGAGATTACTCCATCTGATGGTGCTCGAAACTTTGTATTTATAAACTACCTGTAGTTTTTATGGGACTCTTCTATTTGTTGGGACCTCATTGGGAGAGCTTCATGAGTATTTAGAATGACACTCTTTCCCTACGCAGAGACTACCGCCTAAGATAGCTGGCAACACCCAGAATGCATTTAATTTTTTCTGAAAAATGAGGAAAAGTGTCTTGGGAACATATTTAGGTTGAGCAATAAGAGTGAATATTGATACATCTGTTTGTTTTCTCTAAGTCTCTATAGAAAAGACATTCATTCACAAAGTCTTCTTTTTCTTAGCTATATGTGAGTGGCGGATCTTGCACATTTCTTTTCTATTGTTCTCTCTCTCTCTCTCTCTCTCACACACACACACACACACACTCACACACACACATTTGGTTCAAAGCATGCACTCCAGTTTGTGGCCTTTTAAAAATGTTCTTCAACAACTGACTTTTATGATCAAGGATTGTGAGGTGTAAGTTTCCACACCACACCTAATGCTGAACAAGGACGAACTCATGATCTTAACTTTATACAAGTGGAACATTTTTGACAAGGCATACATAGGAAAGACATGATGAGGACATAACAAGGACACACCAATAAATGAATAACATATTTGTAATAAGTTGCACCTCTGTTTCCTTTTCTCTCCATTAATTTCAAAGGGGGAAAAGTTTCCTAAATTGAGTGCTTTTAATCCTAATATTCGGACTTCTTTTTGCTATTGGTGATTTTGATATGGGACACTAAGTATTGTCATGGATGGTAGAACCCAAGCTTTGTAAATGTGATATTCCTACTCTCTCTCTTTTTCTCTCTATATCTATCTATCTATCTATGTGACGACCCATATATAAATTAATTATTGACATGCTAATTAGGTCGTCAATTATGATTTTATATTATAATAATAATAATAAATAAATAAATAAATAAATAATAATAATTTTTTTTGAGAAACAAATGGACCTCAAATATAGACTCTTCGAATGAAAACGAGTCAAATGGCTATAATATTGATCAAATTTTGTATCATATAATGAATATAAATTTCATATCATATTTGTGAAATGACTAATGTCCTATTACAGATTTTGTTTTCTTGCAACATTTGGATAATTTGCAAGGATTTGAAAACGTGCTTTAAGGAAAAAAAAAGAAAAAAAAAGGAAAGGTAATTAACATGGACAAGTGTCCATGTGATGCTTGGGGACCAAGTATAACCTTGCTATAAATAGCCAAGTCAGGCCAAGCAAAAACGCAGAGAAGAAAAGAGAGAAAGAAAGGAAGGGAGAGAGAGAGAGATGAAGAATAGAAGGGAGAGAAAAAAAAATTTATGAGATCTTATGGTCAAAAGTTGAGTAGTGATTTTTATTTTAGATTGTTATCAAATTTGACTATTTGATTCGGGGTATTTCGAATTTTACATCTATTGAAGTCATTGATGGATTTGAGGTACGAGGTAGTATTCAATATGCTCCTGTCTTTTAAATCTCTTTGCAAATAGTGTCCTTTCATTTGTATTCCTATTGATTATTCTGACTGATATGAAATTTTGTCAATGTTATCGGTTGATCTATACGTGTACGTGGGCTAAATACTTTAGGGTTGATTGATACATGTACGAAGTGTACTTGGGGGCATACTTAGTGAAATGTGATTGTAGCCCTGCGGGATGCAATTGTGATTACAACCCTAAGGGGTGTAATGGTTCGATATGAGTATGGATTTTAAATGCCTAAGTATCACTTGCCATGTCACCAAGAGGACTCGAGTATGAGGCCAGGTTTGATAGATATTGAGTTATGTGACTTATCGAATTGAATTTTTGATTCTTTATGATTGTCTATCGATTGAATTATTTGGTATTTGATCATTCATATTCTTTTCTCGTTGAGCATATTGTTTTCTGTCATATTGTATACGGCCTTTAATATTTTTCAGGATTATCTCGGAGGGAAGGGCCAGAGCTGATATTTGAGGATCAAAGACGGATGAATCTTGATATAATTTTTAACTTTGTATATTGAGGAGATTATTTTTTTTTAATTCGGAGATCAAAATTGTGATTATAAATTTATTGAGGAAATTAGAGCTCTGGCCTTGTATTCGGAGATTTATTTGTGGTTTATTGTGTTCGATCAATTTAATCAAATAACGGGTCCCGAAAACAGGGGGTGTTACAAGTGGTATCAGAGAAGTGAGACTATCAACTTTCGCTGTAGGTATAGGGGTTTAAAATGTGCGAAGTAAGTCAACAAATACCTATTAAACAACGGTATAAGTTAGAATTTATATCAAAATTTGGTTGGGTATATAGTAAAGAGTTGAAAAATGTATCAGATTGCGCAGCGATATTCGTATAATGTATTCATACTTGTTTTACTTTTGAGGTTAGTATTGAATTTTGGAAACGAAATTCTTTTAGGGGGTAGATTGTGACGACCCGTATATAAATTAATTATTGACACGCTAATTAGGTAGGTCGTCAATTATGATTTTATATTATTAATAATAAAATAAATAATAGTAAATATTTTTTTTTAAGGAACAAATGGACCTCAAATATAGACTCTTCGAATGAAAACGAGTTCAAATGACTATAATATAAGTCAAATTTTGTATCATATAATGAATGTATTTCATATCATATTTGTAAAAGGACTAATGCCTTATTACAGATTTTGTTTTCTTGCAACATTTGGATAATTTGCAATGGATTAAAAATGTGCTTTAAGGAAAACAAGAAGAAAAAAAAAGACAGGTAAGTAACATGGACAAGTGTCCATGTGATGCTTAGGGACCAAGCATAACCTTGCTATAAATAGCTAAAGCCAGGCCAAGCAAAAACGCAAGAAGAAAGAGAGAAAGAAATGGAAGGGAGAGAGAGAGAGAGGAAGAAAGGAAGGGAGAGAAAAAAAAAAAACATGAGATCTTAGGGTCAAATTGTGAGCAGTGATTTTTTTTTAATTGCTATCAAATTTGACTATTTGATTCGGGGTATTTTCGAATTTCACATCTATTGAAGTCATTGATGGATTTGAGGTATGGGGTAGTATACAATATGCTCATGTCTTTTAAATCTCTTTGCAAAGAGTGTCCTTTCATTATCTGAATTCGTATTCTTATTAATTATTCTGACTGATATGAAATTTTGTCAATGTTATCGGTTGATCTATATATGTACGTTGGGCTAATACTTTAGGGTTTATTGGTGGTACATGTACGAAGTGTACTTGGGAGCATAATTGATGAAATGTGATTGTAGTCTTGCGGGGTGCGATTATGATTACAGCCCTGATGGGTGTATGGTTCGATATGAGTAAGGATTTTAAATGCTCAGGTGTCACTTGTCATGTCACCAAGAGGACCAGGCCGAGTATGAGGCCAGGTTTGATAGATATTGAGGCTATATGACTTATCGAATTGGATTTTTGATTCTTTTATATATGATTGTCTATCATTGAATTATTTGATATTTGATCATTCATATTCTTTTCTCGTTGAAC